CTAAGACAGAAAAAAATATGGGTGGGTGTGAAGACAACTCGGCATCCTCTATCCAATCATGTAATTAAAATTTAGTTTGGGGGTGGGTGTGGGTGGGTGTGGATGGGAGCGTAGTTTACAAATACCCCTAAATAATAGAGGTCTATACACGTCTTTTTATCTGTCAGTGCATAATGATTTAATGATTTCTTTATTGTTTCTTGACTCAATTTACTTGAAAAATTCCTGAAGTTTGACGTCCACTTTACTCTTCTAAACGCCCCGAAAATTTTTCGCGATTTTTTCAGGATAGGAACTACTTAGTAGGATCTATAACTTTGCTCATATAACTATCCTCGACACTTTCCATTATTCACCCTCAGTTTTTCAGTAAATCCGTTAAAATGTTACTTCACGAAAAGAAAATTGAGCTATTATGACCCTATATTGCTGTTCAGCATCAAGAATTCAATGTACTTCAACGTTTTCTAAGGTTTCTGTGTGTTTCCATACCACAGTTTTTAAGAGGATTTCTGGAAAACTGAGGGTGAATAATGGAAATTGTCGGGGGCAGTTGTATGAGCAAAGTTATAGATCCTAGTTTTTTCCTGAAGCGACAATCGCTTTTTCGCAGTGAATTTACTCAGAAAAAATGATCTTGCGGTAAAACCTTCCCCAAAACACCTTTCTGCAAACCCCTTCTAATAACAAAACAAACACACATAAGAATAAATCAAATTGCGGAAGCAAACATAATAAATATAGGCTTAGTCACTTTTAATACGTTGTTTTCTCCTTCGTTCACTCATTTGAACTTCACTCAACGACAAGTAAAACATTAATCCACTTACACCACTTCCAGTTAATACGGTAAACATCACCTGTGTATAAGTAATGTAAGCAATCCAATCAGTTAGTCTTAATTGATTATTAATTCCATATGTATTACAATTATGATGAATAACAATAAATAATGTAATACCCATATTTAAAAAACAACATATCAAAAAATAAAGAAAGTCCCACATAACTTTCCGTAATTCCTTTATCACTAATAGCAGTTTCATGTATTCTCAAACTCTTAAGAAAATTTAAGTCTATTAGTTTTCCTTTACTTAATTTATATTTGGGCATATAGCTTCATAAGAAGCTCATACAAATTACAATCAATCTACAGTTCATAAACAAATAGTCTTAATTGGGCAAATCCCTGTTGACGCTACGGGTGCACGCAGTTGCCCTCGCCGATGCGCGTAGAGCCAGCTGGTTGGCCGTAGCTGTAGTCATTAAAAGAGCGCCGCCGTTTTCTGAGCGATATGAATTTGAGAACATGAACTCGACTTAAATCTTTAAATCTCAAATAAAAAATTTGTTGTATCGAATGAAGATGACTTAACAATTCAACAATATGAGGAATAAAACTTATAAAACTAATTAATGAAATGAAAAAATATATTAGCGATAATATTTTTCTACCATGATTATTAATAGTAGTAAACCAATTATCGTATGACAGCATAATTTTTGTTTTTATAATTTTTAACAATTGTTTGAACATTTCCATTCCTTTATCATGGCCACAAATAACAATTAGATTGGGTGTGAGAATAAATTGTTTCACAAAAGATTTATTATCTAATGCAATTTTATATGTTGAATATATTTCATCTTGTGATAATTTAAATTGAGCTAGGTGACGAGCTCTTCTAATTTCAACTTGACGACTATTGTTTACTGTCGTTACACCTTCTGTACTTGAAACCACTTTTTTCGACAATATGCTCGTCTGTTTGACAAAGTTACTCATCTCCAACTTGAACAAGATTATTGGAGTTGTGTAGTCGAAACGTTGTCGAACACGATCGTCTGGTTATCAAAAATGCCAAAAGTTCTAACAAGACGTAATTCAATCAACTGGGAGTATCCGAGAACTGCGAAGAATATCAGAAAGCGACAAGAACAATTTCAAATCAATTAAAACAAGCACAAGACAACCTGAACGCACATTTACAAAAAGTTCAAGAATTACCGTATCAACAAAAGCAAGAGGAAATAACGATGGAACATATCGAATTATTAGGCGCCATCGAGACATTCGTACATCAAGGTCTACAACCAGTGCGTATCAATTTCGAACAAAAGAAGATATTATTGGAAATCGATAGAAACGAAGTTCAACTGGTGAAATCGTTCTGTGATTTGAGCCCAACATCAGATCAGGTTTACCATTGTTGCTGACTAGACATTAATATACTATAATTTTTTTTTGTTACTATTCAGTTTGAATTTGCCCTCAAAATTTGGTCGGTAACATCGAAAAATTGTCAACAAGCCGTGTCTCAAATCAATAATGAAACGATTCAAGATAACAATAACATAGTGACAAATGGAGAGCTCAAACTCTTGCCGAAACATCTCGAACAACAAAATCGACTTTTTTCTCTTAAATTATCGGCTCCTTCAATTGCTGGTATTATCGAAGCTCGTCAAACAAATATCGAAAAACGTGCTACACAAATCATTGAATTCAAAAAAGCGACTCCTAAACTACAATCACCTCGTTTTCATCCAACTCATCAGAACCGCGAGAAACATTTTATTGCCGATTGAACCGGCATTCCATCTGAATGTGTATTGAAACTTAAATATCACAACTGATCCTATCTGTAGTACTTATGTATATCAAGTAAAACAATTGTTCTTAATTCATGTCACTCCTTATCTCTCTTTCCCTTCTTATAATTCAATGTCAACGTTTCTTTTTCATATTTCTATTCTCTACTTCGTTCTATTCAACTTAGAATCTGATGTTCATTTTTCCGCCCATTTTCCTAGTGTTCCTCGACTGTCGAATTTTTCATTTAGTATAGCGTTTCTCAAACTCAATATTGCCTAGTGATCGTAAGATAGATATTCACATATACTCTGCTGGAAAATTTCTCTTCACAAATTTGTTGCATTTCAGATATACACATCGACTACACTCAAAGATTCCGACGAAAACTGAACAGCAAATTCCAACACTACTGAAACTGATCCCAGTCCACATACACACAATCTTGGTAAAATCTACGTAAATTCTTTTAATAACACAAATACTTATTGGACAAGCACCACTTAAACAACTATAAGAGTTCCCACACCCTCTCGCCGAATAGCCGATACGAAGCCGGTTTTCCAGGATCATTTGTTTCTTTACGATCCTTCGATCAACTAAAATCAATACTTTCGTTTTCCTTCTTCGGCATTATCTCCACCAGCCTCCAAATTGACCGACGCCTTTCTCATGCCCTTGAACAACGATCATTGATTGATGCTTGATCGATATACAGTAATATAGTCTTCCAAACTTGCCTGATGAGTCCCTTAAGCAAGGACGAAACGTTGTAGGATGCTTGGATTCTATCTTTTCCTTTGTAAACTCACCATTTACAGGAATACTGCGATAAATCCTAGAAAATAGGATTGATCGTCGTAGATTTCTACTGGAAGTTGTTGGAAGTGTTAACTTTCGTATACTTTCATAGATCATCTACTTCGATTTCTACTGCAGTAATATAGTCTTCCGAACTTGCCTGATGAGTCCCTTAAGCAAGGATGAAATATCGTAGGATGCTTGGATTCTATTTATTCCTTTGTAAACTCACCCTAACCCCCTCACCCTCACACCCACCACTCCCGTTCTTTTGTCTCGTTCGGCTCTGTGTTGATTGTTTTTCTTTTATTGAACAAAAAAAAGCATCAATTGATAATGTATAATGTAAAATGCTAACAACTGTAGAATCGTCTCTATAAAATTGATAGTCATGTTCATAACGAAATTTCCATCCCATAGGTATTGTCATTAACGTGCAGAAATCATCTGAGATGTATGTTCCCAGACTTTCTCTATCATTTCAGGTTCGGCAGGCGTTTTGTTCGTTATTGTTTCTCCTTTGTTGTCGACATATCTGTAACCTTTCTCCGTTCCAAGCATTCCATGCACCATATATTCTGCACAATCTTCTGGACTAATACCAATACCAACTGCCATCAAAAGTTTCGCTCCAACTCGAGCAGCAAATGGTAAATTATCAACTAATGGTGTCTTAACAAAACCTGGATATGCATGAGTAAATGTAATATTCACATTTTCTGGTTGTGAGGCAAAATGTTGTATAACTAGATCAGTAAATGATGTGGCATGAATGGCAGCTGATGAGACTGAATATGAATTTTCAAGTGCCATATCATTCCAATTGATTTTAGATAGATTACCCCTGTTAGAATGTAATACAAATAGAACTTTTCCTCCATTGGGAGATGATCGAAGTAGAGGAAGAAGTTCTTGAACGAATAAAACTCGACCATAGTAATGTAAAGCTAATTTATTATCAAGATTTTCAGCTGTTGGTGTACGACCAGCCATGGTTAATATTCCTTGTGATAATACTAATATATCCACGGCATTGATTTTCTGTGCGGCGGTTCGAATTTCAGTCATTAGGGATACGTCGGCACGAATAAACTCGCCATTCGCTCCTAATTGTGGGACTATCTCTTTGGCAGCAGCTTCATTTCGTCCAATAATGGTAACATTAGCTGCAGGACAATGTTTAGCAATGGAAATAGCCATGGCTCGACCAATACCCGATGTTCCACCTACTACGACAACATTTGGAGGTGATTTGAGAGATGATAGAATGCGAGCATTTGAAGCAGTGACTGTATGTACAGCGGCACACATTGCAAGTTTCGATATTCAACAGATGTTTATGATGATCAACTGCAAAAAAAATAAGACAATAATGTACTTGATATGGTGATTCGGAACTTGCAGTCCTAATATTTTTTTTATAGTGCATTAATAAACTCAATCTCCAAAGTCTTCAGAAAACTAAAGCAGATTTTACTTTTTTCTTCTCATATAGACTCATATGATCATGCCCTCTATCGGATAGAGTTTTTCTCTCCTCATTCGAAGATATGAATTATCCTCGTGGCAATAAAAATATCTTTTAAATCAATACTTTCAAATAACATCAAAATTCCTCTTTCACCCATATGACTGCTCGGTCCTGAAAGTATAGGATAATAAAATGATATACGCAACAATCGAAAACTTTTTTCTAACAAATCGAATATAATAAAAAGCGCTGCTCAGTTGCATCTTTTATCTCTTCTACATAATAATTATAAAATAATTTTTTTTCAGGCTGTTAAAATAACATATCACCGGACTTCGAAATTTTCAGATGCGATTAGAGTCCGGGAGATCCCCCGGACTCTAATCGCATTTGAAAATTTCGAAGTCCGGTGATATGTATCACTTACATCGTTCACAGCTTGTGATTCTCGACTTGTTCGTCGATAGAGGAAAACAAAATGTTTTTTTTCTCACCCTCAGAATGTCGACACATGGGTGTTGTTTGTAAAAGAACGAAAGAAAAGAAAGAGCATTTTAACGGTTACACGATGAAAGATTGACACGTTGTAAGAAGTTACCTGCCAATAGTACCTGCCAAAAATGGCCGCCGAGAATAATTTTTTTCTTTTCTGTTCGATGTTCGTTGAATACGAATTCATGCAATGTCTTTGCGACACAACAGATGTCGCATGATTCTGGACATGGTTCTAAAGTGCAGGTATTGCATGTAGCAAAAAATGATTGTCTTAGCTTATATTTAAATTAATATCTTCACCTGAAGGGAAGAGTTCAAATTAAATATTAGATGATTCATTGTATCTTATTAATAACGAAAATTTACACACTTTAAAAGCTCAAGGTGTTTAAAAACATTTATCTGTAGATCCAGTAACATCTGTCCCTTAGTCCTTATGCTTGAGACAAACTGTCTCAGACAAAACTTTTTTGGAAGGTATCAGCTTTGACATGAAAGGAAGAAAGAGAATTTAACTTATCGATCTAAGATTTTCCGCATTGTGACTTATTGTAACGGTGAGTGTTACTTCAATAGTCTGTTAATTGTTAACATAACTGGGACGTGATTTTAGCGGACGAAGGTAGGTCAAAACATTAAGGAGGCTAATTGCCTCAAATTTGGACGGAGAGATGAAGACCACTGTGCCGATCATTATAAGAGATTACAGTGATGCACATTATAAAAGAATCCTTTTACGGTTATGTGACAATTACTAATTAAAAGTTAATTAAGAATACAAGCGGTGTTCATAACATCCTTTAAATATATTCAGAGCTTTTCACAGAGCTGAAATGAAACAGACTCTTGAAATAAGTTCGTGTATCGATCGCGTATACTTTTCGATTTGTTTTGCAGGGTCAGCAATGTACTGAATAATGTTTAGGTAAATGTGCCCTATCGCTTTTGTAATGTTTATGCTCGTGTCCAAAACACAAAGCTAAAACAACGTTTAGACAGAAAACTGGGCATCTTTTAACATTGTATTATAACATTTAATTTTTTCAAAGCTTTCGCTGACAATACATGGTCAATTTACGAAACTTCTCAAAAGAGATACAAAGTTGTCCTAATTGACTTTGCAAGATCAAATAACATCAAGGGAGAGAGCATACAAAACTGAGTGTTAGTTTGCAGAAAAAAAAGTATCTCTTTTGGGACGTAGCCTGAATTTAACTTTTGACTATGGCGTCATTGTAATGAGTTTGTTATTATGTGCAGCACACGATAAAATTTTACGAAAAATTATCTAAACATATTCGTGACGGTTATTTTTACATATCACAAAGGTTGAAAGCGAGCGAAGTGAAATTAATCGATAATGAGTTCGAAGACTGAAATTAAGGCGCCGCTACTTCAAAGTTTCCATAAAATATTATTTTTGCTTTAAACCCGGGTTGCCAACTCTTCTCATTTATCAGAATTTTTCTGATTTTTAACTTTTTTAATTAGTGCTAGAGGGCTTGTCCACGTAACTCGAGACTTCGCTGATCAAGTTTTTGAAAAAATTATTTTAGAGTAGAACTGATAGGAGCATATCACTAGATGCAGTTTTTGACGCTGATTACGAATCTAACATTAGTTTTTGAAAAAAGTTAAATTTTGGTACCAAAAATCCAGTTTTACATTTATTGAAAACTGTATTTTCAATTTCCTCACCTAGACACTTTTCCTAATAAAAATGAAAGGCCATACTAATCGATAAAGAATTCGATTCTCTACAAGATGGTATGTTTCTTTTGAAGTTTAGACTCAGAACAAGCTTTTTAATGAAGTTTTAAGTTTTAAAATTCTCACACAATTCTAAGAAAGTGAAAACATTTTTTCAGCTTTATTTTCATCTTAATCTATATTAGATGTCTAAAGCTAAGCCTGATGTGAAAATGAAACCCTTTGATCAATGTTTAGTGCTCCAAATTTTATTGGGAAAAACGAGTGTCACAGCGTCACGACGATAAAACGCAATTATTGAGGGATGGAAAGCTCTTTGGAAAGATTCTTTTTTAACAATCGGTAGCTCGTTTACTCCTCCACAAACTTTGCGCGAGACGCTTTTTATTAGCTCTTCTAAATTCGCCGCAAATTAGCTTTTAACGAGACACTTCGAATTTATGGCCTTTTTTTTGTCACAGCGTCACGCGCCGAAAAACGGTTCTAAAAGTTCGAGTCCTTAACCACATATCTTCATTTTTATAGCAAAAGCAGAGTATGGCGAGCTGCGTCGAATGGCGCAAGAACGAAGGTTCTAGCTCTTACACTTTTTGAGAAAAGCTCAAACTACTGTGTCAAAAATGTCACAGCGTCACGCTTGGACAAGCCCTAGACAAGAGGGTTTTATGAACTGTAAAAAATACAACAGTTTTCTTCTCCAAATACAGTTGAAGTTGAATGTCTTCTATAAACCACATGGGACAAAGAAAGAAAAAAAAGAAGCAAATGAGGATCAGTTTTAAAAAAAAATAAGATGTAACCGTTTTTCCTGTGTTTTGGGCAAAAAAATACGTCTTCTGATTTTTGACACTTTGCTTTTCTGATTTACAGATTTTCTTTTCTGATTTCTGAGGTGTTGAGTTGGCAACCCTGCTTCAAACACATATATTCTGACAGATCTCATCGAGCTAATTCCGAATATCACCTTTCCAGCTCGATTGGAGCGCGTTTTTCCGGAGAAAAATTAAAAATGCTGAGAGGTTCTAAAATAGCGAAAAATCATTCACTTTCAGAACAACCTGAGATTCTCACCTTATAAACATATCTAGGTTTTTGTGTTAAGTACTACCGCCCTCATTTATACGCCAAGAGAATTTGCTTCAAACGAAGATTAAAAGTATAACACGCTTTTTTGAAATTCCTTTTTGTTGCTAAGATAATTGCAAATGATTGCAAATTAGCGAGTTTGGCGCCAAATCGGCCAAGTGATTTCTAAATAAGTCAATCAGCTTTTAGCACACAAAGCTGAAAATATGGATTAGTGTTAAATCTTCAGATAACACTTGGAAAAAGTCAGAGTTTTCCAAAGTGGTTTTCTGGAAAACTAGTATTTGGGGAAACTTCGAAAACGCATTCTGCCGAAAGTAGTCGAGATCAATAGAAAATTAAATTCTGAGTAAAACCTGAAGTAAAGTAAATTTTCCAAAAACAAATAAAACAGAAGTAATTTAGAGCGGCATACTTATAAGGAAAAGCATTTAAGAGCCTTTTTCCTAGCGCAAGAAATAATTAGAATGTTCAAGATATTATCAAATATGTTTCTTGAATACTTCAAACACCAATAACAATTTAAACTCATACTTTTATCTTAAAATAGTTCCTGAGGAAACTTCAGAAATTTTCTAAGTTACAACGCAGGTTTTAACTTTAATTCATGATAGCAGCAAAAAGTACAAATTTTATGAGCAAGAAAATTCTCTCTCTATAGTGTACTTTGAGACTAATTTCATCATGTTTTACCCGGCTTTCTCTTCGGGAACATGATGCAATTCATTTCAGATTCAACCAGAGATTGAGCTCAAAATAAGCAAGTACACAGTAATTTTATTCACATGTTTTAACTCTGTCTTTCAATTGTTGTGCACTTTAAAGTTATCATTTAACTTCTTCAATTTTTCGCATCACTTTTGTATATACGCATGTCTTCACTATTCAGAGGACTATGGTGAATCGAACCATGTACTTTTTTCTGAAAAGAGCACGTGCTTAGGCATGCACCAATACCAATCATTATTGAAGATATTGTACAATACTATTGGGTATCCAATAATATTCGGATCCAATATTATTGTATACAGAAAACAGAAATCAAAAATCGCCGCAGATCAAACTTTAGATAAATGTCTTAGCTTCAAAATAAAAAAAAAATGAAGGTTTTACGATGAATCGTCGAAGAGTTAATACAACATTACACCGCTAAAACCATGTTCTAAACAATGACGTCATCAGT